GACTTTATGTTTTATCCTGACCAAAATAATCCATACTTCTTCCTGACTAAGAGAGTCACAAATCATCCGAATCAAGATCTCAGGTGTTTTGTTGGTTGAACTAGGTTTAGATTGTTGAATTAATATCAACATCATAAATCTGTTTCATACAAGATTTAAGTTTGAGGTTGATTACATGGATCCAACAAGGAAACTTTGTTATGGAAGAGTAAGGGGAGAAAGATGCCACCCACTAATCTTTTTAAATATTTTTGTCCAGATTGTGGCCCTTCAGAGCAGGGGTGAAATCCAGCAGGTTCTGACAGGTTCTGGAGAACTGGTAGCGGAAATTTTGAGCAGTTCAGAGAACTGGCAAATTCCACCTCTGGCTAGCCCCAGAGTGGGGTGGGAATGGAGATTTTGCAGTATCTTTCCCCTGCCATGCCCACCAAGCCATGCCCACCAAGCCGCACCGCACCGCACCACACCACACCACACCACACCACACCACACCACACCACACCACACCCAAAGAACCGATAGTAAAAAGAAATTGGATTTCACCATTGCTTCAGAGACTTGAGAAATGGGAGGACAAAAACAGAAGGAAATTATTTCATATTTCCTCTTTATTAAAATGGGAATCTGCAGATGAGCAGAGTCCATGTATCACGTGAAAGTACTGTTATAGTGCATTAAAGTAATTGACATACTTGAAAACTTGACACATAGTTTTCGTGATATCTGCTCCTTTCACCTAGGAATCTCCATAAAGGTGAATTTCAATTTCAAAATATATCAGCAAAGGTCAAGCTGACCAGGGAATTCTGGGAATTTAAATTGATGCATGTTGAAGTGTCCAGGTTGGGAAAAAAACTGAAATAAAACAAAGTATATAAAACCTGATATTAATTTATTTTTTCTCAAGCCATCCTAAAGAAATTTCCCTCAATGCTATTTATACAAAACATATTTGGAAAAAAGAGAAAGCCAATGCAAAAAAATTGTTTTCAAGCATTCTTTGTACACATTGTGATCTTGAAACTGTAATGTTGTTTTTTTTTAAAAAAGAAGAACCTCAGAATATTTGTGTGAAATGTACTTCATTCAAAAGAGAAACCCATTAGACCTACAATGACCTGTAGTAATATTCCTAAGCAAATATCAACTCCTGGTCAAGCTCATAATGTAGTTGAAGTCTTGTCCTAGTGTTGGTGACTCTTAGGAACTGGATGGATATGAACAAATGTAAACTTAATCCCAAGAAAGAATGGTTTTGAATTAAGAAATCATCTGACCCCAGAGAAATTCCATCTCTACTTCTGCATACGACCCTCATTCCCACCTGGTTCATAATTGAGGAATATTTCTTGATTCATAGTTCCTGCTCAAGGACCGGGTGGCTGCTGTACTAAGGGCAGACTTTACACAACTTTAGCTTGTGTGCCATTTGTGACCTTTCTGGATTAGGAGGCACTATTCACTGTCATTTAAATTTAACCCATTCTCTGGATTGGATTATGGCAATGCACCTTCCATGGGGTTGCTTTTGAAGATCATTTCGATGCTACAGCTGACCCATAATGTTGGGAAGTTATGGCTCTCATGATTAAGTCACATAACTCCTCTGCCCCTCAAAGCTCTACCAGATATGTTTGCATCCTTGTGTAATTGAATGTGCTAGTTGTCATCTTTATCTGCATGACCCCGAACCTGACTTTCTTTAGGTCTGCCTTCTTTCAGTTGCTTTTTCCTGTTAAGATCGGATAGAAGAAGTTGCCTTCAGACCAGAAGTGGTATTTAGCAGGTTCTGACCAGTTCTGGAGAACCGATAGCGGAAATTTTGAGTAGTTCGGAGAACCACCAAATACCACCTCTGACTGGCCCCGCCCCCATCTCTTCACTGCCTTCCAAGTCCCAGATTTTTGAATCCCACCACTGCTTCAGACCTCTTCACTTGGGGATTTTCAGGACTTTAGAGTAGCATTTTCCCTGAGAGCCATACAACCTCAACCTTACCGGACCTTTAAAAGGCAATTCGAGCCCACATCTTTTCTATAGGCCTTGAGAAAGAGTTTATGAAATGCTTCTGCCTGGCATATTGCAAGCTGTGGTTTTCCAGTGGGGTCTCTTTTTTTTAATGAGTTCAGATAAATACTTTGATCTTTCATTATTCCATAGCTTGCAGTAAGGAATCGATTGGAATCAAGTCTGCTTATTGTCCAGGGCATGAGTTGTGAATGGTTTATTTGTTTGATTTGCAGGTACATTTTAAACAGTATTTAATGGAACACAACGTATAAGCTGCTCAGAACCAGTTGTGATTGGAATATCACATAAACCAGCTACCCAACCATCCAGCTAGCAAGAATGTAGCAGCTTTGTAAGCTATCAGCTACAAACTTAAAGTGAGATGTAAGCAATGTTTTCTTGTTCCATTCAGTGATCACAGATAATTGGTACCGAAGATGGAATGGAAAGTCATACATTCATTCAAGACTTCCAATAAAACATTCATCTAGCCCTGGAATGCAATGGAGGCCTTGAAACTGACATTCAAAATCATGCTTAAGAACATCTCAGTTTCAACAGCGAATTTTGTAATTAAGGTTTTGCTGAATTGGGTCATTTATTTACATTTCAGAAAACTATTACTCCAGACATACTTCGTAGAATACGTCTTAGTGTTATAAAACCATCTCATTATGTGAGATAGCAAAATAAATGACACACATTTTGTAGTCTATTTGCAAAATGATCTTATGCGTGTGCCAAATGAGCCTTTAAGGCTTGGAATTTTTCCTAGGGAACCCCCATTAGCATTAATGGGAGCTTCCTAAGGCTGAGGAAGCAACTGTGGCATCCAGAACAACTTTAAATGTGATACAATATGTTGTATTACCAATATATTACTCTCCTCCCCTCAAAAATGCATGCTGTTCTTTTTAAAGTTTTATTTTATTTTATTTTCAAGTTTCTGATGGTGCATATACAGGTAGTCCTTGAGTTACGACCACAATTGAGCCTAAAATTTATGTTGCTAAGTGAAACATTTGTTAAGTGAATTTGCCATATTTTACAACTTTTCTTGCCACCGTATTTTAAGTGAATCATTGCATTTGTTAAGTTAGTAGCATGGTTGTTAGGCCCGCCAGCGGCCTGAGCGGATTGTTGCTGATCCCGACGAGGAGGCTGGTGCTGTGTCGCGCCAGCAGCCTGTGCAGCCGGCGCTCGAGTCGGACAGTGAGGAGGCTGAAGAAGAGGTGGTGTCAGAGGCAGAAATTCAGCCAGGGCCTTCAGAACCTCCAGAGGCTCCTTCAAGTGAAGAGGATGAAGTGGAGGAGCCTCTTCTCAATGCACGGGACCCAGAGCTGCCAAAAGGCAGGAGTGTTACTCAGGAGGAGGTCACCTCGAGAGTAAGGCTTGGCCACTCCCTTAGCCTATTTAAGTTTGCACACAGCTTATAAAAGTTGCAGGAAACAACATATGTTCGCTCGCTGGTCATTGAAAGTGGATTGTCTTTGCAAACCTGGCTTCTGGGCTTTCTGCCAACTCTCGTAAAACTTTATCTTATCTGTGGACTTTCTGGCAGGTTGTTAAGGACGTTTTAATTAACAGCCTGCATTTGCAAAAGACGGTGTTTTGAAGTGAACTGAGTTTTGTTTGGAGTTTTGTGTGTGCTACATTCTTCGGGTTCCGTAGCTGGGGCAGAACATTAGGTGAATCTGGCTTCCCCATTGACTTTGCTTGTCAAAAGGTCACAAAAGGTAATCATATGATCCCAGGACACTGCAACTGTCATCAATATGAACCAGTTGCCAAGCATCTGAATTTTGATCACGTGACCATGGGGATGCTGTAACAGTCGTAAGTGTGAAAAATGGTCACAAGTCACTTTTTTCAGTGCTGTTGTAACTTTCAATGGTCACTAAATGAATTGTTATAAATCGAGGACTACCAATATGTATCTGTGGGTAAAATAAGCCGATACACAATACAAGTCTCAGTTCAGCTATTTGGGATGGCTCTCAAGAGATACAGCTGGAACTTGTACAATGCAGTAAATGGCTAATAAATTTGAATGAATGAATGAATATGCTTATTTTACTTTACTGTTATCTATTGTTAATATGTATTTTTATAGTGTTTTATTCTTATTATGTACATGTTTCTATATTGTTTTATTTTTTCTAACATTGTAAGCTGCCCAGAGTCACCTTTTGGTGAGATAGGTAGCAAACAAATTTAATAAATGAACAAAATTGTCCTTTTCTCAATAATACCTTGTATAAAAATTGTCAATTCCCAGCCAAGCAACTTAATTGGGTGAAAAGTTCTTGGTGCTCTCTGTTGCATCACTCAACTAGGTAACATCTTAACAATAGCAATAGCACTTAGATTTATAAACCACTTCATGGTACTTTACCGCTCTTCCTAAGTGGTTTACAGAGTCAGCATATTGCCCCCAGCTATCTGTCTCATTTTACCGACCTCGGAAGGATGAAAGGCTAAGTCAACCTTGAGCCGGTGAGGATCGAACTGTTGGCAGTAAGCAGAATTAGCCTGTAATACCGCATTCTAACCACTGCACTACCACAGCACACATCTTAAGTGTGTGAGGTTTGCTGCCTGTTTATATATAGTGTTGACTAAATGGGCCAGTAAGATCTTTTCATCTCAACCTACCCCACTAGGCTGTTAGGGAGATAACATGAGTTACCTATGTAAGATGTTGGGTACTAACCTAACAAACTCGAAACAAATAACAATTGTAACTCTTAAAAAAGTGTAATAACTGCAAAGCAGCAATGAAAAGTACCCCTCACCATGCTTTGTTGGCCAATCATAGACCAAGACTCTACAAGGCTACCAGTTGTAGAAATTAGTATGAAAGAACAGCAGGAATTGCTTGGCTGCAATTGGCAGCCACTAGATGTGAGTCAACAGGCATAGATAGGATTGTACTGTAAAGCATTATCTGACAAATAAATATACTGACTACAAAGACCCAGACTACATGCTGTTGTATGCAGAAAAGACCTATAGTTTATTTAAGTTGACAAGTGATCAGAAGGTTGTAGGTAACATTTAGTTAGCAGCAACCTGCTGCATAAGCAGCGTGCAAGAGTTAGCTTAGCTCAAATGATCACAGAACAACAGAGACAGAAACACCATTAAACTTTCAATCATGACTGAGCATTGCTAGCACACTGGTCCTTTAATCCTCACTGCTGCAGAATTTAAAGTTACCCTAACTCTATGGAGCGGCAGCAATTGTTACTGTTAAAGGAAAAACTCTGAAACAGGAGACGGTTGTGGTAGCACAGGGCTGTCTAACTCGCAGCCCACAGGCCGGATGTGTCATACGCTGACCATGCCCATGCCCGGTTTAGCAAAGGGGAAAAAAGTCCTGATACGTGACGCCACTGTGATGACGCGAATTTGACACCCCTGTTGTAGCACCATTAACGTAGAACATTGATAAGTACATGTAAGCCAACATGCAAGGAATTGAGAAATTTATAAATGTTAATCAACTGTAAATACTTAACAAGATGCATATTGATTTTTTTCCCCTTGTTACCCAGAGAGGATAACTCAGCCTGCAACTGCTACCTTATCCACAAGTTTGTGGAATAAGTTTGCCTTGCTTGCACAATTAGACAATGATCTATCAGACTCAGGGCTGACCATTTGATGAAAGCTGTGCCCCACCGTGTTTAACAGTAGTTTTTTTCAGTTTCTCCACCTCACAGTTAGTAAGCACAGATGCTAAAGATCAAGCACTCTTCAACTGAATCATATCTATTGTTTTCCTGGAAGAGAAAAATATCTAATCGCTGATTGTGGTTTGTAGCTCCATCGTTTGACTTTTTCAAGTATACTTTTCACTCTGTATTATCTGGTTCCTTGTTGCTTGAACTCAACTCAGGGTGGATTCTGACTCTGAACATTATCTGATCTTCGCAAAAGGGGAACCAGTATCTTTGTAAGGTAACCAGATCTGGACTGCTGAAAATTGGAATAACCAAGACAAGAAAGGATTAGCATTGCTTTAATCCAAAGGCAACCCCAATTTTTGAGGTCCAAATTACTGGCCCTTACTCTTGTGAAGTGTACAATTTATATCTTTCAAAATGGCAGTCTCCAGAATCTAAAGTAAAATTAAGACAGTCATTCTGAGCGTGTCCCTTTTGAAATGAAATGCGTGGAAATATACATGCTTTCATTTCCAAATAAAATTTGCAGAGCATTAGTGTTAAAGGAGGTATAGTTTATTTACTAACAATTATTCCAGATAGGATTTGTTGGCACCTTTCCTTTGGATGTAAAACAATATTTACTTTAAGAGTTGCCATAGCCTTTACAACATTGCCTACATGACATAATTAAGCTAAAATAAAATATACATTGTAGACTCTGAAAGGGAAAAGTAGCATCAGGTTAATGGGTATCCTAAAATTAAGCCCCTATATACATCACAGAACTGATGGATGCTTTTGTTAAGGTGCTGACATAATAGATTCTATGAAATGTCCCCATATATACATATATGAGAATGCATTTAATATTTATAAATGTATATCGAAACCAATAAACTGAGATTGCTGAAAATTTTTGTCATTTCTAATTCATAAAATGAATTTAAAAATTTCCATATAAAAAATCTACAGAAAAAAAAATACATGATCAAGTTTAAAATCTGTACATATTATAGAAGACAAGTTCCAGTTCCTTGTTGGTCTGAGTCCATCTTGTGCATCTCAGTAAGATGCCATGTGAACCAACGAACACTTAAACAACTGTGCGTAATGGGAAAGATCTGTTACACGGTCCACCATATCTTGCAAAGTGGATGTGCTGGGATAATTCAAGGCAGCCACCTTGGTTGACATAACAATGCTTTTGAGCAAGTCGCACAGCTGGTTGCTGGAATTCATGATGCTGTTGCGCATTTCCTGAGTTGTCAACTGCCTAGTCAGGGTATCCCCAATGAAGACCAGTTTATGAGCACTTAAGATGACAAACTTGCTATGAGCGACAAAGATCCTTGGGGGCTGCGCAGCACTGATGCAGCTGAAGAAGGCATCAATGGCGTTCAAGAGGGAATTAAAATGAGTTTCACATTGTTCTGAATAAAACAAAAGAAGTTGCCTCTCTTGAGTGGCTACCAAGTTCTTTGTTGGGTGAAGACTTTGAGGTGACTTCCACTTTGAGATGTCATTTTCTACTGGCTTGGTGATTTCTTGTTCCAATCGCTGGAACTGATTCAACTGAAAGGCAAATAGGAAAGTTAACACCATGTAGTTTTATCAGTACTTGGTACCCTTACTTTTAGTAGATTTCTGAGACCTGGCAAGTTCACTCTAGGATCAATAGGCTACAGTGGAGAATCCCAAGATGGGAAGAAGTATAAAACATTTCTTAATTGTTGATTATTATGATCTTTATGTTACACGTCTGTAGATTGTCATATGCAAGGAACACAGATTTAGGAATTTATCAATGAGCAACAATAATCTAAATTCATCATGATTGTGATGACTTAAAAAACAAACATCCCCAATGGGTGTCCCAAAGGTTCTTTTTCAAGAGGCAACTGGACTTTCTGTTTTTTCTTTGAAGATGTTTTGCTTCTCATCCAAGAAGCTTCTTCAGCTCTGGCTGGATGGTGGGGAATGGAAGGATTCTTCAAATGACCAGCTGTCTGCAAGGAATATAAATCCTTCCATTCCCCACCATCCAGTCAGTGCTGAAGAAGCTTCTTGGATGAGAAGCGAAACGTCTTCAAAGAAAAAACAGAAAGTCCAGTTGCCTCTTGAAAAAGAACCTTTGGGACAAGCATGAACTGGATGACCGAGAATCTCCATAGACATCCCCAATGGGTGTTCCCCAATCATCTAGAGAAAACAGGTACAACCGTTGAGTGGCATTTGGGAAAAGACGACACAAAGCTACTGTAGGTGAGGAGTCAGAGGGTAAACTGATTATCTGAACTCCTTATAGCTTATAGTGTTCTGGAGAAGATCATCACTTGCAATCAATGGAGGCTTTAAAAAATTGCTCTCCACCCACAAATTCATGCACATTTTTCTCAAACATGGTTCCTTGTAGGAGTGGGGAGAAGACTTGGATTCTTCCTACTCCATGTATATTAATTCTGTTCTGAAGCAAGAGAAAATGTAGCCAGGAATTATAGTATCACATGTAATGTACTTATACTTTATCTCTTAGTAAGTAAATATATACTCAGAGAGGTTGCTTTCTATTATTATTATTATTATTATTATTATTATTATTATTATTATTATTATTATTAAATTTATTAGCCAACCATCTCACTGTCTTAACTGACACTGGGCAACACAAGTTTTTTTTTTTTAAAGCCTCTAAGTGTTCTTTTAGAACAACATTTCTACCTCCCAGAATCCCAGGGTCCTTGTCCTTCTATTTTGCCTTTCTGATTGTTTGGGTGCTACCTGTAGGGCTCTTTACCTGATGATGCTCCAGCTGCGTCTTGTTCTGCTTAACGATGTTTTCTTTTTCCAGCAACTCTTTCTGTTGCCTTTCAAACTCTTCCTTCCCCTAATCAGAAAAAAATTGAGATACAAAAAAAAAAATGTCCCATCACACAAACGAACACCTCTTCACATGGCAGTTAAATAGTTTATTAAACAGCAAGTATTTTATTGTGTTTACATTTGGGTTTTTAATTGGTAGTGAGGAAAAAATAAAGGAGAACTTATAGTTTTGATATCATCTTAATAAACAGGAGTTGCACAACCTGGGAAATGGCAGGGGAGGCACTAAAAGGTTTTTGTGCATTCTGTGATACGGCTGGAGCTTTTTCATTTTTATTTCTATTGACCTGATGATGGTCCAGCTGCATCTTGTACTGCTTAATAACATTTTAACAGGAGAGAGAAAGTGGCTAGTTAGGACATATCTCTGGAACCCACAATCTGACTGGTGTACCTTGGTAGACAATTTCCATTCTCTGCTGAACAAGTAGGGAGAATGGAGGAGGGAAAGACAATAATTACTCATTGGCTAGAAAATGAAAGAGATGGCAGATCCATAACACAGATCTTAGATACGTTCCAATATCTAAGAGGTTGCCATAAAGAAGAGGGAGTCAACCTATTCTCCAAAGCTCCTGAAGGCAGGACAAGAAGCAATGGATGGAAACTAACCAAGGAGAGAAGCAACTAAGAAATTTCTTCTTAGAACTAAGAAGAAATTTCCTGACAGTTAGAACAACTAATGAGTGGAACGACTTGCTTCCAGAAGTTGTGGATGCTCCAATACTGGAAGTTTTTAAGAAGAGATTGGACAACCATTTGTCTGAAATGCACAGGGTTTCCTGCCTGAGCAGGGGGTTGGATTAGAAGACCTTCAAGGTCCCTTCTAACTGTTATTCTGATATTTAATCAGGGCTAAAATATCCTGAACTATCATATATCTCAATTTAGAAAGACATTTTTGTTCCTCACCTATTAATCAGGTTTGGGGCATTCATGATTGAATGACTGAAACAAGGAAGTATAGGTGAAAAGCAACTGACTTGGGAAGTTTGCTTTTAAATGGTGTGGTCAATGACCACTTCAGACATAGTTTGAAAGGACAGTTAGAAGATGGATATTAAACAATCAAACAAACAAACAAACAAACAAACAAACTTTATTGTCATTGTATGTGTATACACAGTATACACATACAATGTGAATTCATTTAACACCCAAAGACCAGGTCCAACACACATAATCCCCAAACACATTCCCACCCACCACAATTCCCCACCCCTAACCACCCAAACATCCACACAACAGACCAAGTAATACTGTCCAACAGCTCACTGATGGTGGCCCTTTAGTTCATTGTTGAGTGCAATTATAGTAATTATCCACTATAGGTAAAAGTAAAGCAACAACAAGGAAGGACTGCTGACTTCAGGCCCTGCTTATAAACATCCCAGAAGCCTCTGGCTGACACCTCTAGAAAAGGTAGGTGGGACTCACCTGCAAGTGCACATAATCGTAATCATCCATCCAGCTCTTTTCTAAGCTATTATTGCTGTTGCATTGGTAAGGCTGGTTTTTAGAAAGGAGTGGTGATAGAGAAGTGCAGTGGTCCTGGTTTTTATCTCCAGGGTGCAATGTTAGAGCCTGAGGATTATCATACACATAATCAGCAGCAGGGTTCATGCCCTCCGATGCGTTTTTTATATAGGAGCTGCAAGGTCCTTGTTTGAAGAGCACCTCAGCATTGACACTGATGCTGGTGGTCAGTTGTTTGGCATCATCTGGGATCGTCCTTGCCACCATCACGAAACGATCCAGGTCATCACATTTGTTCTGAGGCTTGTTGACTGCTAGGACATTCAAGGACCAGCTGCAATTACTGAGGTCATGGCTAGTCTGGGTCAAAATCTGATAGGAATCTTCCAATCTCTGCAGCTCCCTCCTCATTTTATTGTAGAGACTAAGTTCTGACAGATAGGAAGCATTGGTAGTTGCCCCCTTTGCGAAATGGAGGTAGTCGACCAGTGACTGTTCCACTTTGTCAACCGCAGTATGTATCTTGTTGATACGTTTTTCCATGTTCTCGTACGATCGCCAGTCAGGATTGACAAAGGCCATCAAACTGGAGACAGCATTTTCTACTGTGTTCTGATTCCAATAAAGTCTCTCGATGGCAGAGTCAGGATCCAGTATTATCCTTCTGTCATGAGAAGGACTAGCTGAAAAAGAAGATTCCTTTGATGTTGTGGAAGATGTGGACATGTTACTCCGGGTGCTCCCTGTACTTGAAAAAGACAATCGGTTTATCCCATCGGTAACATCCTGTAGCCTTTTAGTGTCCTGTGTCACCTGTGGTGGGACGTCATATATTCCTTCTTTTCCATCTGGATTCAGACTTTCACTAAATGCTAGATGCTGTCCAGGAAAGGGAATTCCACGAGGGGTGTCATAAATATCTGCCTGGGGAACTATTTGCTGTCCAACAAAGTGAGTTTGGTGGCTCACTGGAACATCATAGAGGCCTTGTTGGAGTGGTGTCAGTTCAGAAGAGATGGTTGCCTTAGCTGTGGAAGGAGGGACATCATATACACCTTCTGAGCTCGCTTCGTGCTTTATGCCAGCAGCCAAATCAGGCATTCCTTCTCTAGCATCCATATCATCTCTGAATGAGGAAGACGGATTGGTACAGATCTGGAACGTAACAGGCAAACTTAAGTTACTATGTTAAAAGTAATAGCAATAGCCAGAGGTGGGCGTCACATACTGTAACAAGCAGTTCCCCCGGAACACAGGCAATAGCAATAGCACTAAAGACCTATATAGCGCTTCATAGTGCTTTATAGCCCTCTCTAAGCCGTTTACAGAGTCAGCATATTGTCCACAACAGTCTGGGTCCTCATTTCACCCACCTCAGAAGGATGGAAGGCTGAGTCAATCTTGAGCTGGTCAGGATCGAACTGCTGGCAGTCAGCAGAGTTAGCCTGCAATACTGCATTCTAACCACTGTGCCACCACGGCTCTTCATGACATCAAATTATCAAATGTATATGATTATCATTTACATGGACAATAAGCAGAGTTACTTGGTGGAAGAGCAGTCTCTGGCTGAATAGGGTTAAATCCCAGAAAAAAAAAATAATGTAATTGTTTGAAAGTGGCCAGTGAAAGTTAGTATTGGCCCAGAAAGCAATTATTTCAATGGTCTTCCTACAGCACAGTTAACCTGAACATTATGAAATATGAGCAGCTGGAAACATGTGTTTTTGAGCTGCCATCTGTCAAGCTCAAACAGACGAGCCCAACAAACATCAAATATTGTACAGTGGATACTTGGCACAAAATGACAACCTCACCCTACTACTTACACCTCATGGATACTAAGACATAACTCTGTATAAAGACTATTACAAATTGATCCAGTTTATACGTCAGCCTAATAGCCACTGACTAAACCCATTCCACCTGGCCCATAAATCATCAAAATTATTTGCATGCTACTGTGTAGTACTCCTTGAGAATCTTCACCTTTCCACACTGTAGCTGTTGAGAACTCCCTCCAGATACTCAGTGCCCTTGCTCTTTTGTTGCTGTATATCTAAGCTGTGTTTAAAGCTGTTCCCTAGCAATATAGCAAAATTACTTCAGATCAGCAACAATGGAGGAACAATGTCCTTCAATGTTCAATTTAGGAGGAGAAGAAAAAATCCAAGGGCCGGGATGAGGAAAATATTCCCGCCAGTGAAAATCTTCTGCTCCACTACCAGAGAGAAAAACTACTAACTTTATTTTCATTGTATTGTTTTCTGGAGCGGCAAAACAGTTGATCAACTTTTAATGTGAATTGACTTGGTGTGCATAGACTACAATAGCCCTTACAAATTGGGGAAACAGTCAAAGCCTATTTCCTTGACCGGAGCATGTAGAACCAACTGGACTGATTACCTACCACATGCTAAACTAAAGGAGGAATATTAAGGGTTCACATGATGTGTGAATCCAGTCATTGTATCACAGAAGTGAAGTCCAGACAAACTGACTGCACAACCGATGTGCACCCTGATATTAATCTCACATAGAGATTTGTGCTGACATGAGCCTCACAAAAGACTGTATCTTCTACATAGTTGTTGAACTCCCCTTAGATAAGCACAAAGATACAATCAGTCCACTGCATGTGTACAGATTTTTTAAAAAAACACTAATTACAAGAATATCTTACATAAGGATAATAATTATGCTCGGCAGTATACCTTTATAACAGTTATAAAAAAAACCAAACAAAAAATAAATGGGCTATAAAGCTTGAGGGGAATGTTAACAGGCCTGGAGTTCAAAGCACTCTGCTATTTGTTCCCGTCTTCTCTTCGATGCAAAATACACTTTTTGTTTAAACATGTCTTCAATCCAGCATGAAATTACATGTTTGCTTGAAATGGAACTTCAATAAACTTACCCCTTTAGTGGGAGGAACGTCATAGATCCCTTGAGATTTCATATCACTCATTTGAGCTGCTTGTGGAGGACTTTTAACTGATCCAGGGGGGACATCGTAGATCTAAGCAGAAAAACAATGCGTTACTCAAAAGAGAAACATCTTCAGCCTTGATGAAATCAGTTTGGGCTCTCTAATTGATTCCTTGGCAAATGGCATGTCTTGGTAGGATAACTAAAGCTGCTCCAGCCAATAGCCGTGAATGTCTGTCCAATGTCTCCTGACAACAAACAAAATTTGTTTACGGTCTCTCAATCACCCTATTCCCCTTCCATGAACTTTTGAAAAACTGCTTTGGTTCATGAGCCAAGGGGCTCATTTCAGGGCCAGCCCTAGGATTAGGCGCACTGCCTCATAGAACAGAAGTTGGGAAGCAGAAGTGGCTTTTGGGAATTCCTCCTGAATCTCCTGGATGAACTCAGGAAGACAATGCTGGATATCTCACGTTAGCCCCTTCAAAAGAGGTTGCTCCTCTCAGGTGGTCTAAGAGTATCGTGGCTTCACTTCTGCATGTAAAATGGAGGAGGAAGGAGGAGATGGGGGGAAGAATATCTGTTTGTTCTTTATCCCAAGCAGCAAAATATCTTGGCAGTGGTCTATTGCTGGCAGGTTTTCTGCCTCTGATGTTTTTACAGAAACACACCAGAAGCAGATGAGTGAAAGTCCCCTTTGATTATCAGGGGATTAACTGCCATCAAGACTTGGAAGTGCTCGGGGTTTTTCAGGGGAAAAAAAGAAAAACCGAATGAAGTCAACTAGTCATTTAAGGCTTCTTGGACAGCTCAGCAGGGAGCTGTAGACAATCCTGGTTCTCTGATCAGTTTATTTTTATGACCAAAGATGAGGGACAATACAGTACAGCAAGAAGCATAATATGCTGTATTGTTCCCCCACCTCGGATCTGTAACGGAAAAAGAAAAGATTTTCATATAAAAAACATAATGTACACAGTGGTTCTCAGCTACAGAAGATAAAAAGGCAGAGTTAAGTTCTTTTCACCCCATAAAATACTGTGAAAGGCCTTTGGTAGGTCAATTATTTTTCGGTTCAAATCACTTGATAGTGATGTCTTGTCAAGAAGAAAGAACTAGACAATGATACATTTGAAGCCATATATATGCAGCCAGGCTCAGGATGATCCCCCAAATTAAAAAACAAAACAAAAGGAGACCTTGAGCCCTCTGAAGTATTAATTTTTGTGATTTATCTCAGCCCCCCACCCCCCCGTCATCTTTACTGAAATACGAGTGCAGCTGCTGATGGTAACCATGCTTAATCCTCACATTGATGTCTAATCCCCAACAATTTTTATGAGGTGCAAGAACACTCCTCACTCTGTTGCACCAAGGCCAGAAAAAATATTCTCCACTATATATTAGATGTGGAGCTAGAAAGATTTTATAAGGTTGTGTGTGTGTGTGTGTGTGTGCGCGCGCGCGCGCTATTTATGTATTCCTGAAAGAAAAGCTCCAATAATACGAAACCAGAACCAATTTTATGTTTTGTGGATTGCAGTACTAATAAAGTTGGAAACCACTGAATCCTTAAGGAAAGATAGGTTTGGCCTCTCTGAGGCCTCTTTATCATGACAGTAATCCATAGTTATTTTGCATATTATTCTTATAGCATGTTCCCTTCTCCCTGACTGCTGTTTCGGCCCCACTGGAATATGTTTATTTCAATGAAGTAGACCCCAGATGTCATCAGGGCTTGCCCAAATCTCGTTGTAGTATGTGATCATGAATAAAATGAAACTCTGTCTAGTTAGCCTAGTAGGCATTTGACTCAAATAAATTAAAAAATCAAGACTGGTTCTCAGATACAGTACATCCTGTTACGGTAAAACCTCAGTTTAATAGATGCCAGTGATGGATGTAATAGACACATACATTGCATTCAGCCCCTGTTTAACTGACTAATGTCTGTCAAGTTTCTGTTAAAGTGAGTTTATGTATAAGATTTAACCGCAAATGACACCATTGTGCAAACAACACAAATGTGGATTTAATGGACATTTGTCCATTCTCTCTGTCCCTACAAATTATCTCTCAAGTCATAGTTTTACTGTAGTGAACTGATGTTGCACTAATACCAGCTCTATTTATTGTAAATGTTCATGGGAAAAATGGTTTCAGAATTTAGGGGGGGAAAAATCTACACAATGGACAATATTTACAGCCTTCACATATTTTTCATGATCAGATAAATTAACTGTCTCTCTTACAAAAGAGAGGTGGGTTTTCTTCTTTTCTGCTTCCCAATTTACAGTGTATTTGTAAAATGTTCTGGCTATTGAGAGAGTAAAAAAGTTCATCTTGTCAAGATTAAAAAGAAAGCAAGTCACATGTTTAATTTAGAATGTGAAAATGAGATATGCGCAGAGGGAATAGATACAATGTCAAGACCTTGGTGGCAGCTTAATTTCAGAGCTGATGACATTTTTATTACTACCTACCCCTTGAAGAGGACGAATTGGTGGGATATCGTAGGTATCCTTCTGGTATTTGGTAGGAAACTCGTAAACATAACCTTGTCCTGACCTGACTGGAGTTACCACCTAAAGGTTAAAAGAGAAGTACAGAACCGTATAAATAGTGAGCATTTGTGGTTGCATTTTATCTGGTGGTTTTATTAGTGAGAAACTTAACCATCCTTATTTTGAATAGAAAAAAAATATACACATCCAACTAGGATATATAGTTTAGCTCATGTCAATCATTTGTAACAAATGACATCTGTTTACTTTACTTTTTCAATCTGTACACAAGCAATTAGCTGGCAATTAGCTGAGACTGATCTCAGCCATGGGAAACTGAGGTTTCTGAGACAGTAGACTAGGCCTAAAGCCTTTGAGGAAGAAGAGTGAATTCCAGTGACTTCAGGAGTGCCTTAGGTACTAGATTAGACTTTTCCCAACTGAATTTCTTCCAGAGTATTGGAATTATAGTGCTACAATTTCCAACTGGTATTTTGGCCATGCCGACTATGGATTCTGGATTTGTACTCCAGTGGTAGTATTCAACCGGTTCTACGCGGTTCAGGCGAATCGGTAGCAGTGGCTGCGGGAGGCTCCGTCCACCCGCCCGGACGTCAACACATCCCGTTTTTGATGCTCTGTGCATGCGCGGAAGCTCTATGCATGCGCAGAGGTGGAGTGTGCGAGCGAAGTGAGCATGCATGTTCACATTTGCAAACCGGTTGCGAAGGTAAGTGAATACCACCCCTGTTGTACTCCCAGTGCAGCTGGAGAAGATAAGGTCGGGGAAGCTGCTCTAGGTGTTTAAAGTGTATGTACAAGAAACAATGTGTGAATAAGACAAGAACTTGTCAGGAAACAGGTAATATTATGGGAGTACTCACTAGCTTAGTTACAGCATCCTATGCCAGCTATATCAAATATAAATTTACTTATGATTTATGACAAGGTTGATTCAGCCTTCCATCCTTCTGAGGTCGGTAAAATGAGGACCCAGATTCTTGGTGGCAATATGCTGACTCTGTAAACAACTATAAAAGTAGTTGCTTTTCTTTGTCATCACACAGGTAGCAAGAATGCTGACTTTTCTAAGAAAGGAAGTTTTATTTTAGATTAGGGTCTTCATCAGATTTGAATACATTTTGGCACTTTAGAGAACAGTTTCTATCTACCCTGCTATTCAGGTGTGCTAGAAGCAAAGTGCTTGACAAAAAAATTGCAAGATTTCTTCCCTGGCCTAAATTCATACAGACACAACAAAACTGGAGTCTAAATAAAAGTGATAGGTAGTTATGTAAACTGAGGATGAATACATAAATGAATGTTCTCAGATCCTTATTTTCCATTGAAATGCAGAAAGCTAGGCTGCCCATTAAAGATGATGATATTTCATCTCAAGGGCTTCACTTGAAGTCCTTAGCTGCATGCAGTCATTTGACTGGTACATCACCTTAGTCAATCAACCACATTCTGTGAATTTGTGTTTTAGGTATGCCTTTATGACCCTACAAATGTGTTAATATATACAAACACACAGGAAACACAAATGCCCACGCTGTTTCCGTTTCTTTCACTCCTTTGAACATACAAGCAATTCTGGAGTCAGTCTAGTCTTAAGACTGATGTGCAAAATAATACAAGTTAGTCCTCAATTTACGACTGTGCATTTAACGATGGTCTGGAATTACGATAACCATTGCAAAATGTTGCATTACCATTCCCAAGGTCATGTGATCACAATCTGGGTGTTTGGCAACCCAGTTGCTCACACTTATGACTGGTTGCCAAGCTCTCTGTGATCAGGTGATCAACATTTGCAATCTCGTTGCAAGGTTGCAAGCTGTTGCTTCTTGCTAATAGGGCTTCCTCTCGCCTCAAGGGAGGGCTAAAAGAACTGCCTCCTGAGGAAACTGAAGTCCTTCAGTAGGATGCAAAAACAGGGTTCAAATCCTAAAGATTTGAGCTCATTCCTGCACCCTGCCAGAGGAGTTCCCCACTGTATATGGACAGGAACAGAATTCATTCAGTAGGCAGTTCTTTTAGCCAGCCCTCGGTCACAAGAAGGAGCCATAAATTCAAACAGAGAGTAGAGAAAGCACCCCAAAAGAACTATGGGATCAGATGAAGGAGGAAGGTCCTTGAAAGCCTAACACAGGCTGTACGTGAGTAATCTCTTTGTTCAGGGGCTGGAAATCCTGCTTGGATTAGGCCAATGAGATTTTCAGTTTCTCAGTGGAGTTTCCCAAGGTCTCTCTCCCCACCCCCGCCCCCACCCCCAGTCCTGAGGCACTGTGTGTTCCTAACTTGGGACCATCCACTTAACAATTCGCGAGATAGCTTAATGATTGCAACCGGGAACATTGGGATTGAGGTTGTTGAGCACAGTATCATTCAATGTCTTGCTTAATAATCACTTAGCTCAACATCTGAGATTCTGGTCCCAATTGTGATTATACATCGAGGATTACCTGTATCCTTCTGTGACAAGCTGTCTGACCTATTAATTTATAAAAACAACACTGCTCTGGAACTAAAGTCTTTTTGTGCTATAAAAGAGAGAGAGAGAGAGAGAGAGAGAGAGAGGGAGGGAGGGAGGGAGGGAGGGAGGGAGGGAGAGAGAGAACATGCATTAACTCTGATCTTATTGAGAACTCTTTGTTTGCAACAATTTTTATATAACCAACAAGGTCCTGTGGTGTTACAAACTATCCCTTAGGAGTAAGAGATAATTTGAAACAAAAGCTTCGTCTCAGGGTAACCTTACATTTTAATCTTTGGGCTAAGACAATTTTAGTGTTCAGCTGCTAATACAAACCATAAAGAAAAATGATCAGTCATGGCAGTTTTGAAATCTGCTACTCTGAATCCTAGCCAAAGACACTTGTATCATATGCATTTTTGGACATTAATATTTTCTTAGGAATAATAAAATGAAAATGTACACCACTTACAAATAGGGATACACTTTCTTCCGTGTATTTATTCTTAAAGGCTTGCTGTTCACTCTAAGGAGGGCTTCTAGGAGTTAGCCCAAACCTGGGTGAACATTTAATCTTTGCAAATAGCCAAATCATCTGTTGTGAGAGGCTCTATCCCGTAGAGTTTGTGTTGTAAATACTTTTTAGGAGACCGTTAGTTTTGCTGCTATAATTATTTATCACTGAAGTAAAATAATTGAAAATGATTTTTTTTAAACAATCAAGTGTTGATTCATTGATCCAGCTTCTCTCCTGGCCCTGAAATTGTGGGCTGAGAGTGAATCACTAGCTTAAAGTCATCCAGGTGGTTTTCGTGCCTAAGGCAGGATTAGAACTCACAGTTTCCTGATTTCTAGTCTGGTGCCTTAACTACTACAGCAAACTGTCTCCCTCCAGTTACTGCCATGAATGGTTTTGTAATTCCACAGGAAGAGGAATTGCATTCTCAATCCATTCTCTTGGGTAGGTGATCACAAGCATTTTTAAAATAAATAATCAACAATTTCTATGACGTCTGGCACATAATTCTTAAGATTCAAAACCTCACTGCAAAATGATCTGCAGTCTTATTTTTAGAGGCACATGAAAATAATCTACTTGGAATTTTAAATGTCTTTGTAAATCAACTTAATACCCTCCAAATCTGTAAAAAAAAAAATTCCCCCCAAAATACAGGACTCATTAATACAAGTGACGTTTTTTATCCCTTATGATATAATGTTTGCAGTTCTTTTGTTTGTTTGTTTCTTAATCCCTATGTACTGGAGTTAAGTATTTTCTCACCAAATACTAGCATCTTTTGTTGTTAGTTGCAAAGTCATGTCCGACCCATTGCGACCCCATGGACAATGCTCCTCCAGGCCTTCCTGTCCTCTACCATCCCCTGGAGTCTATTTAAGGTAACGCTGACTGCTCCAGTGACTCCATCCAGCCACCTCATTCTCTGCCGTCCCCTTCTTCTTTCAATCATTCCCAGCATTAGGCTCTTCTCCAGTAACTCCTTCTTTCTCATTAGGTGGCCAAAGTATTTGAGTTATTAGCATCTTTAATGAGTTATAATGACTGCCTTTTTGTCATATAATTTATAAAAAGGCATATCCAGAGCTTTCTATCTCCCCTGCCTTTGGGCTGCAGTATAAAACGCACCTTTGACAAATTTTGTTGTTTGGACTGTTTTGCAAATTTATTTTCAGTGCACCACTGAGTTCTGAAGGAGATGGAAGATATGATCTCACAATTATTGAATGAACTCTTTGAGAGCTTCTGGAGCATGGGGAAAATGCCAGAAGACTGGAAAAGAGCTGGTGTGGATCCAATCTTTATAAACAGGGGAAAAGTGGATCCAGGTCGGTCAGCTTGACGTCAATACCTGGAAAAATCCCGGGAAAGGTCATCAAGCAGATGGTTTGTGAGTACCTAGTAAGGAACAAGGTGATCCCTTGAAGCCAGCATGTGTTTGTTAAGAACAGGCCACACCAAATATTATTGACTTCTTTGATAAAACGACTAGTCCTCGACTCATAAAACTTAATGTGGAGTCTGTCCATTACTTTTGCAAGTCATGACAGTCATCAAGCAAAATGTCGAGCTGCCTCAAGAGTATGGGAGGCATGGGTTAGGGTTAGGTACCTTGTGCTTCACTTCCCATCCCCTGGGGACCCTGCAGGTATTGGGCCTGCTTTCCCAAAAAACATACTGGGTCCCTGCAAGCTGCCATTCCCTCTCAAGCCTAGAAACTAGGGAATAGTGAACTACTTCCGATAACCTGCCAAGAAAACTGCAGGGCCTGGTCCAGGGAATCACCAGGAATCAGGTTTGGTTTGAAGGTGTGCACGAGTCTCCCAGAGGTTTAATTGTATCAAAACTGAGACTGAACCTTTGTCTTAATAATCCCAGAGTAAAAAAAGATTGACTTTTGTCCTGTGTTCATTAGGGGGTACATCTAAAGCTATAAGCCGCCAGGAAGAAAAATGCTTATACAACCAAATATAATGGAGCCGCTGTCCTGTTCCATATATTCTTACATCTTGCCTAGAAACAGCAAGTACAGCAATAGCACTTAGACTTACATAGCACTTCACAGTGCTTTAGAGCCCTCTCTAA